ATTTTAGCCTCCTCTTCGTCGCTATTGCTTGCGTTCTGGCTCAACAGATCGATGCTCAATGGTATGGTGGATATGCTGCTTATCCCGGATATGCCGCATACTCCTCATACTACCCATCTTATGCCGGGTACTATGGAGGACTCTACTCTGGTCTAAGCTACCCTGGATACGCCTACTACGGATGGGGAAGCAACAAGGTTAGGAGTTTAAACGATTCTGTCCTTCTAACTTTCAAATTCTTAAGAAGTACAAAATTATCTGATCATTTTCAGGGTGGAGCTCCTGAAGCCCCAGCCGTTGGTGGATCACTCACCAACAATGTTCGTCAGTGAAACCTTGCCAATTCCAAATTTTACGCCAAGAAATGCCAATTACATGTACATTACTGTACAAAATAAAGCAATTCCATCCAAAACTGTAGCTCACTAAATCGAAATAAATAATGTTCTTCAACCAACAGATTGAGATTAGAAAGCAAGTGATTTTTGAATGTACAAGGTAAAAAACTGCATATTTGAAAGAAAATTTCTTTAAAAACAAAGCATGAGTCATGAGAAGATAAAGACGAGCATAGCGATTCGCTGTTCGCTGTTCAAGACACAATGCCTCTATCATCCTAAAGCTGCATGCTTATGATGAAACGCATCCCCACAACTTGTTAAATTCGATAGCGATAAGAGCTGGTGGCAAAAAGAGATTATACATATGTATAATTGGCATTTGGCATCAAATATCGAAATCTCATAGCATTTGTGGACTGAGTTCATCGAAACTCAAAAATTCTTCCTTCCTACAGGAAAATGCATTGAAAAACCGCGTAAATTGTTACTCTGAGCTCAGATATAATTCAAATCAAAAGGAAAAGGCAAGTATGGAAGACAGTACCGTAGAAGTGAGGGACGAACAAACATGATACAATCACAAAAGCTCTCAGCATATATGCAAGCATAAAAAAGGTGACAGCTTCTTTTCAATCCATAAAAATGCAAACGTTGCATCTGCTGAAAAACATGCAG